ATTTTCTCACATAATTTTTTTTACTTAAAAAAATAGGTGTTTATTTAAGTAATAAGAAAATGCTTATTTTATTCATACATAGGTCTATGGTGGACTTTATGTCCACTATAGAATTTACCTTCAAAATGTAGCACACACACTCTTTGGTTATTTTATGTTCTTTTTTTATATAGAAGGGCTTTGATGTCCACTATAAAATTTGTTTTTATAGTTTTAAAATTGCAAGTTGTTTGCGCCTGAAATAAAAATACTTTGTAATCTAATGAAAAAATTAACATACTCCGGGTATAAGCCAAATCCAGTAAACATTTTTCATTTTTTATTTTGCAGAAGTAAAAAACATTTTTTTAGAATGTTCAAAAAAGAAAATGAGATATAGAAAAAGAAATGAAAATACAAAAAAGTACTCTTATATCATTATATGAAAGGGAAAATTAGATGAAGTGTTTTAATAAGATTTTTTTGAATGTCAAAAATTAAATTTTTTAATGGTTAATAAATTTTTTTTCAATGCCTTAAAAATTGAAAAATTGGAAAGTCCTATTTTAACTTATTAAATTTAAAAGGATCCTTTTTTTTGAACATTCTAAAAGGAATGACTTTATTCAATGTCCTAAAAAGAAACTTTATAATTGCGCTTCATGGTTACATTTTAACATGTTTAAAAGAAGGGCAATGCTAGTGGTACACCAACATGGGGTACCCCAAGTGTACATCAAGCCAACACAGACACACAGAAACTTTATAAAGAAAAAAAGAATAGGAAAGAAATTGAAGAAGAAGAAAAGTATACGAAAAATACTTTTGTAGAATAGGGAAAATTAAGTTATGAAGAAAATTTGTTACGCATTGATATAAAAAATGATGAGTATAAAATTAAATAAATATTAAAAAGACTTTACTTTGTATTCTTTTGGTCCCACTAGATTCAAAAAATAAGAACCTTTTTAGACAAAAGCGAAGAATATTTAACTTGAGACAAATGAAGTATTTTTTTAGATTTTTTATTATTTCAAACACCAAAAATTTTTACTTTTTATTTTTTTGAAAAAACTTTTCATTATTTCAAACACAATCATTTTTTTCTCTTTTAGAAACAGAAAATAAAAAGAAAGATAATAAAAAAGGAGAGGGGGCGTTGGTTCACATTTCCAAAATCATAGGGGGCAAACGAACTGTTTATTTAATATTTGAATGATATTTTAGTCGAGAGGGACATTGACATAAGAATATTAAAATCACGGGGGGCAACGACGTAAGTTTTAATACCATAAGGAGTAATGGTGCATATTTATCAAACCACGGAGGTATTGGTGCAATAAACTCGACTAATCATGTACCTCTTCCATTCATCAATATCTTTCTTCCCGCACATTATTATATTATTCATACTTTGTTTATCTATTTTCATTACTGTTTTGGTAAAATAATATATTTCTATCACATATAAAATTTATACGGTACAAGCGGTTATGCTGTATTCCCGGTACAACCGGCAATTGGAGCGCGATGAAATGAAGCACGGCAACTCTAGGTGCGACGATGACGGAAATTGGAGCGCAACGAGGCGTACCTTAGGTGCGACGATGAGCGCAAAAGCAAGAGGAAAGCCATCTCCTCCCATAATTATGTGGATGGAACAAGCTGGCAAAGTGAAGCGGGCAAGTGAAGGTGGCGGCGGCTATGACGACGGTCGACGGCTTTGACGGCGGCTCCACTGCTGCGACGACGACTATGGCATACGGCACACGTACGTAGCACATGATTTGTTTTGGAATTGGAATGGTATGAGTACATTTCTTCAGAATGAACACTATGTTATTTGAGAATGAACACTACGTTGTTTTAGGATGAACTCTATGTTATTCGTAAATGATTAATATTATAATTGTAATGAACAAATGTGTGAAAATTAACACTACGTTATTTCATAATGAGCACCGTATTAATTAAAAATGAATACCACGTTATTTTAAAATGAACATTCTTTTACTCCAAAATGAACACACATACTTTGTATGAAAATAAATAATATTTTATTCCAAAATGAGTACTACTTTTTTTTTGTAAAAAAATGAGTACTACCTGACTATACAATAAATGCACTGTCACATATAGTTTTTAAAATTTTACTCCTATAATAAAATAAGAGTAAATTTCATAATTGGTCCTTTATAACATAGGGGTTCCCCTATTTAGTTCTCTATTATCAAATATTACCTCAGTGGTCCTTCTTTTATAAGTATCTTTCCACAAATAGTCCTTTTTTATCTTCTATCATGTTGGGGGTTAATTTGAGGGCTAAAATTGTAATTTCACAATGATAATATATCTTTTTTGTCATACATAATTCCAAAGGTTGTTCCGTTTGCGTCGTTTGTGAATTACATTCGCTTTCTACTACAACCATAGTCTACAAATGTGGTCTTCCGCCGGAATCCTAGCCCACAATCATAGTCATTATTTTTGTGTTATCCGCTTAGCCAATATCAGAACACACACATCGCGAAAGATAAAAAAGAACCATTTGTTAAAAGGCATCCTTAAAAAAGGATTACAAGGGTAATATTTTATAATAGAAGACTAAAAATAAAATGTAATTACTTTGATAATTGAGCAAGACTTTAAGTTTAATACTACATAATGTGGGTTGTGTGGTGTTGTTAAATTTTGTTTATCTAATATGCACCTTTCTGTCTTAAAAAAATGCACCTTTCTTCATTTTACCCCCATTTTTATTTTGATAAAATGCTGTAGTTTTTGTTGATTGTTTTTTGAAATTAGAGGATGTAGCATTGTAATTTTGTTCTCTTTCATAATGGTGATATCTTCTAGAATTACTTTCTTCCAAAAACTAACTAACATGCAGCATAGATTGGGGTGTCAATAGATCAGAGTTACAAATCAAGTTTTGTGCACGTGTACTTGGTATGAACCATTTGGGCTTACCTAAACGGTGGCGTTTGTGAGGTAACGTCAAGCAGAAGTCAAACATTAAGTAGTGGTAGAGGGAGCTTCTATAGACATTGAGTAGTTGGCAAAGAGAGTTTCTACAAAAGATGTTCCCATGGATATTCCGCAAAAGTTTTCAAAACACACTGCAATTAGTAGAACAAATCATTCAGGCTAGCTGGAATGGCATGGTAGAGAATACTCTTTGCCGTCTTCACTATAATGCAGAGAAAATGAAACAGAGCTTGGGAAGACTATGAAGCCTTGCTATGTACCACCAAGACACACTCCAGTTTCTCTTGCGAGTAACACCGAAACTCCATAGCAATATAAATTTTCTTCTCAAAGTGACAAAAGCTCCACAAATCAAAATATTGTGTAAAGTAGAGGCAACAACTCTCTTGACTTCACAACTGCTAGCTGTTGCGACCTAGCTTATGAAGGTGCTTGGGTTGGGTCAATTTCTTCATTGTTTTCACAATTTGTTGCAAGTCCCTTATGACATTAGTGTAGTTCAAACAAAAGAATCTTTAAATATTAGGCATAGTATTGGTGAGAAATTGATCAATTATACATTGTTGTTTCACAAGTGACTAATCAACAAGACTTGAGATGTTGAAGATATTGATTTGTAATGACCAAAGCATATAGCTAGAGGACTCTTGCTTATTTTATACATAATAACAACTATTTAAATAAATTTGGAGTTTAGTGACTTATCATTTTATCGGTAATTATAAGTTATTTATATATTTCATTATGTTTATCATTAGATAAAATTTTCACTGTGGTTAGTGTCTAGTGTATTTTAAAAGTAGAATTAGATTGACATTGTCAATGTATTTTAAAAATAATTTTTTCCGACGTCTAATAATTAAGGATTACTTTCTCAGTTTTCTATTTAACTTGTTTCTAAAGTTCATTTTTTTTCATTTTTAAGAATAATAATAATAATAATAATAATAATAATTCATGATGGGATCTAATCTAGTCTGGTCTTATTTGATTGGATCTGATATATTCTGATTGGATCTATTCCGATCTGATTGTATCAGATCAGATCAGATCTAATTCGATCTCATCTGATCTGATTCGATCTGATTTGGTCTGATCTGATCTGATTTTAATAAGAATAAGAAAAAATAAGAAAAAATAAGTTGAACGGAACGGGGCCTTACTCGGTTACTCCCTCCAATTTTATTTAATTGTCTGTTTTACTCTCTGTGTCACGGAAAATACTTTAAATGTGTGTTTTTGAGATTTTTTTTGAATATATTTTTAAAAAATATTATTGGTCAAATCTTAAACTTAAAAAGGGAAACGGGCAACTAAATACTCCATCTGTCCATAAAAAATTACCACAATTTGATATTTTTGGTCAAACTATGACATCCTTTGACTGCGTATTATAGAAAAAATATATTTAGTTATAATATAAATTTAGTAAAATTGAGTTTATTTTAAAATGTACTTTTAAAATATCAAATTTCTATACTCCCTATGTTGTCTTAAATTAAATTGCATGTTTACTATTTACAATATCAAATTTCATTAACTTTTTTTTCTATTTTTGTTAGTCATTTAATAAAATAATACATCATATCACTACTAGTTTTGTAAAACTTTTGATATAATTTTTAAATATGTAATTTTTATTGTTTAATTATACATCATTTTTCATTTAAAAAGATTTGAAAATAAAATATAATAACTTAGACCATTGGTCATTACTTATTAGTCATTATTCCCTTACTTACTTACCATCAACCACTTGCAGTACCAAAGTAGTACTAACAACAAGTATGGCGGAGGCTATCCATCAATCCATGCAGAAGAAATCTGGGAAATGAGAATCATAAATGCTGTGTGAGGAATGAATGATGAAGAAATATCATTGATTCCCCTCCCAACTCCCAAGACGAAGGCCGTTAGTTCATTTATTAGTAGTACTCTCATGATTCATGTCCATTGATCTGTCCATCTCTTGTTAGCTTCTTCTCTGCATAAATTGATTGAGATGGAGAGTTCATTAGCACCAGTCTGTGCGCCGCAGCAGCTAGCAGACGCCGACCGAGCACCGGCCGATCGATCGGTTCAGGTTCAATTCAATGGCGCCGGAAGAGATCAGAGAGCCGTTGTTGAACCGGATCGCGGAATCGGCGGATGACGATGATGAGTTCTACGGCGGCCACGACGAGGGCTGCGCCGGTTGCAGAGTCGAGCTTCTCAAACGCGCCGATTCCGGCGTTCCGGTCAAGCACGTCTTCTTCATTTCCGTTGTCACCCTCTGCGCCGGTTAGTTTATCCTCCCTAAACCCTAGTTACTTTAATTACCAGCTAAAACCTTCTTCATAATACCACCTCTGTATGTTCAAATAAAATCTGCATTGCATATTAGTAAAAATATGATTTCATTACATTTATCTGGTAAAAACATTCAAAATATTGTTTCATTGTATTAATATGGAATGCAATTTTCCTTAATTGATCATAGTACTCTAATCAACCAATGAAATTAAAATGGGAGACTTTATGAAGATAATTGAGCAACTTGTATACTTTTGATTTGTTGCCACTTCAAATGTCCTCGCTCATCTTATTGCATACTTTTGACTTGTTGGTTTTGCAGCTCTACCAATATCATCCCTCTTTCCTTTCCTATATTTCATGGTCAGGGATTTCCACATTGCAGAAAGAGAGGAAGATATTAGTTACTTTGCTGGATATGTCGGTCAGTAGTGACATTCATTGATCTAAAAGTCGTGCCAAATACTACTTTTAACCGAACAACATTTTGGACTCTTCCGCTTCTTAGTTCTCAAACAAAAATCTTAAAATTATTGCTAAAGGTTCATCATTCATGTTGGGAAGAGCTTTGACATCTGTACTCTGGGGAGTCATCGCGGATCGATATGGCAGAAGGCCTGTGGTAATGTTTGGCACAATAACAGTGTTAGTAAAACCCGTCCTTAAAAAAATCAAACTCTGATATCACACAAACAGTGTTTTCTTTAATTGGACTTGTTTATTTTTCCGTATCTTCATAATGGTCAAATGATTTACAGGGTCATATTCAATACCCTTTTTGGCCTTAGTGTGAACTACTGGATGGCTATTGTCACAAGATTTCTTCTTGGAAGTTTGTGTGGAATAATTGGTACAATGAGGGTATGTTTGGCATCTCTCTTGGAAACTCTTGTTCTAATTTAGCTCTTGTCAATACGGAGTAATTATTTATTAACTCAGTCTTCCTTTAGGCATATGCTTCTGAAGTTTGCCGGAAAGAGTATCACGCTTTGGGCATATCTGCTGTAAGTTGCTCGTATTCCGATGTGTTCGACTTCTCTGTATGATGTGTCTGTTGAAATATGACATAGTTGGATTGGGAATTGGGATATCTCAACTTAGTCATGGCAATGCACATGAGTTAAACGTCGATTAGCTAGTCCAGCTCAATGAGATATTAACCGTTATCAATCTCTTTGAATTCTATGCGACTATGTTGGACAACTAACAAGTAGTGTGATACTATGCTCTCGACAAAATATGATTATATTCCAGGTTAGCACATCATGGGGTATAGGTTTGGTGATAGGACCGGCTATAGGTGGTTATTTTGCTCAGGTACATTATCTTTTCCCTTTGGTAACTCTAGGTGCCACTTCAGTTCCTTTAATGATATTTACAAATCTTACTTTCTGTAATTGTTCATTTTGTCTGCAACTGTGGGACATTATTGGGCTGTTAATGCTGTTGCTTTCTGCAAGCGTAGTAAGTTGTAACTTATTGGTATGCCTGTTTTTTTTCCTATTAAAAACGAAGCCTGCAGAGAAGTACCCAAATGTATTCCCTGAAGAATCCTTCTTTGGGAAGTAAGTGATGTTCATATGTTCTTTTATGTTGGTCATCATTATGCTTGATTTATTTATTTTCTCTCCGTAGCATCATGCCTTCACCATTGTCAACATGCAGATTCCCTTACTTCTTGCCTTGCCTTATGATATCTGGCGTTGCATTGGTCGCGTCGGTCATTTCCCTCTGGCTTCCGGTATGATTCCTTGTCACTTTTTTTATTATTTAACAAATGTCTCACATTGAAAATATAGAACACCAGACGGGTGTGTTGTTAGGGTAGTGCGTACACACTCGAATCAAAATGAGAAATAAGAAGAAACTAAGAAAATTTATAAGAGCTCTCAAGGATTTTCATAGTAATGCCCAGTGGTTAAACTCCACAGCGGTATAGGGCTATATGGAGAATAAGAAAGGTACAACCTACTATTTGGGTTGGGGTGGAGTCCTGAACTCCACTCGTGGGTGGGTAGGTGGGCAGGAGCCCACCACACCCTCGGCAACCTCACCACGAAGGTTAACCGTGTGATGCATATTTATTTGACAGTACATCAACATAATAACAGGCTCCATAACTTAACAATTGTGTTTCTACATATTGATTTGGAATAGGAAACAATGCACACTCATAAGAACAGAAACAAAGGAGGGGATGTTTCTCCGGATCCTAAACAAGAGGTTCCAACTTATCGGAAAAGTCTAATGACGAATTGGCCTTTAATATCATCAATTCTTGTCTATTGTGTTTTCCAACTTCATGATATAGCTTATTTGGAGGTATTGAGTAATTGCTATACTTCTTTTCAATGAAATTATGATTGCTCACTGCATACAATTATCTTCTAAGTTGATGAGATGTTATTATTTAGATCTTTTCTCTATGGGCTGTTAGTCCAAAGAAGATTGGGGGGTTGAACTTTACAACTGCAGATGTTGGTCAAGTTCTTGCCATTACAGGTACACACACTACAACTACTCTCTAGATGCATTAAAAAAAGTCGCTATTAAGTATTTACAATGTTTTAGCTTTATATCAAACAAAATGAAAGTTCCTTCTTGCTTTTTATGAAGTTATGGATAGCAAATGTTACGACATGTAACATCAATCATTATAAAAAAACAAACACACACTCTTATTAGGTTGACTCTTTAAGATGGAACTAGGAGTGTTTATAGTAAATGCAGCAATGCATCTTGGGTCTAACCAAAACAAAGTTTAGATTTTGATAAATAATGTCATTGTTGTCCCATATATGACCTACTGTTTCTGCAACATTCTGCTACTTGCAGGCATGGGACTTTTACTCTTTCAGCTTTTTGTGTATCCATTGGTGGAGAAAGTTCTTGGGCCTGTCATGATATCGCGTGTCGGAGCTGTATGCCCCATAACATACCTAGTTTTTTGTGCATAAATGTATTTCAATGCCTTGTTCTGTTTTCATAGTATTATCTTTCATTTATTTGTTTATTTATTTTGGGAGGGGTCGGTTTAATGCAGGCTCTAAGCATACCATTGCTATCAAGTTACCCTTACATGGCTATGCTATCGGGTTTGTGGCTCTCCTTAGTCCTGAACTGTGCGTCCATGCTAAAGAACGTCCTCTCTGTAAGCATATGCTGAAATTCCTTCCCAAACATCTATCCCTTGCACCACTATTGTGGTGTCATGAGAATTGTGACAAGTGTATGTTACTTACATTACAATGCACACTTTTCACGATTCTTGTGACACCAGATCACTCTCGAGTGATGTAACATGGGTTGGTGAGTGTTCTCATTGATCCTAATTTTTATTTAAATACTTTTTTTGCCTGGTCAGGTATCTATCACTACGGGATTATTGATACTTCAAAACCGAGCAGTTGTAAGTGTCATATTTTAGGAAGTATGTTTTGGTTTTAATTTTTGTATTCTTATATGGTAAAACTCTTATAATTCATAAAATGGCATTACTTCTTAAAGGACTTGCTAAAGTTGGTTACATCTTAATTAAAAAGAGATTTAAAATGATTTTCAGTGCCAGGAGCAGAGAGGAGCTGCCAATGGGATTTCAATGTCTGCAATGTCTCTTTTCAAAACAATTGGCCCAGCAGCAGGGGGTTCCATGTGAGTTTTTTTCTTTTCTTTCCTCGGTTAGGCTAATCTTTTGGTGATTCAACTCACTATAGGCCTGTATATGTTTCGCTTGCAGATTATCATGGTCACAACGGCGTCAAGATGCCAAATTTATGCCAGGTAAATAACAATGACAATGAAATGGTTGTGCTGCATGTAAGGTTTGTTCATGGGTTCAAGACCTGACCACAGACCAAATTCGTGAAAAAAAAGAGTAACCATGATTGAACCTAAAAATATTCGGTCCTGGAAAAGACTTGATTTGTGAGGAAACATGATTTTAGTGTTGTAAAGAGCTCACACTCAAAATCCGACATGACAAACGCATACCATACAGAGACTAGAGGAAAATACAAGATCAAAAACAAAAAAATCATAAATTATTTGGACAGAGGGATAGACTTAATTTATTTTGGTTTGGACTAAGGCTGTGTTCCGTTCGGCTGAGCTAGTATTTTGAAGATCTGGTCTGATCCGATCTAATTATAGTTATATATGGTCTGATTTGATCTAGTCTGATTTGATCTGATTTTAATAAGAATAAGTAATAAGCTAAAAAATACGTTGAAGGGAACGCGGTCTAAACAATTTGGTCCTATATTTTTGTTCGGACCTAAACAGGAACACCCCTAAGCAAGTTAAAATGAGGATTTTATTATAAGCTCAAGAAGCAGAATGTGATGTTGTATTATGCCATGATGAGCTTGCAGGGGATCAGATGGTCTTTTTCGTCCTAAATGTGATTGAATTGCTGGGGCTAATTATGACCTTCACGCCATTTCTCCGTCTACCTGAGGACGACGAGGGAGAAGACGACAATTCAAAACGCGACAAGGCTTCTGAAGAGAGCAAAAAGCAAGAGATCTTTGCATTGCCTGAACTACCATAGTAGTACTAATAACTAATAAACGAGTTCAAAGTTAGTAATTCAAAAGTAGCTAGTTTGGTGTTTGGCATAGGCCAAAAGCTTTGATCCTCTACATTGGGAAAAAATGTGATCACAGCTCACAAGTGAAGTGGTAGTTTTCTTTCCCTTTTTTTCAAGTCCAAGGGGAATAATATTCAAATAATGTATCATTCATGGGGGTTAGGCTTAGGTTGCCTCAAGTTTGTCTTCTCTATTGTGAACAATATAACAAAAGAGAATTTAGTTAAATAGTACTAAAATATAATGACTTTCTCAATATAATATCATATATTTTTATTTTATAGTATCATTGTTTAATGGCAGAAAGACCAAAGTAGGACTAAAACATTAAAAATATACCAAGATAGAATTTTTTCATATATTTATTCCCAAAATAGGATTTACATTACCAAACATGGCCATGTACATTACCAAAAAAGTATAGTAATGTGCACATGTACAGTGCCACATTACCACAATGCAAAGTCCTATTTCGGGAAAAAAACACGAAAGTCCTATTTTGGTACTTTTTTCTATGTTTTAGTCCTATTTAGGGTGATTTCTATTGTTCAATGTCTACTGATCATTGTTCAAGTAAAATGTTTAACGCCACTGGACATTGTTCAAACTAAATGTCCACCATCACTACACATTATTTAGTTGTACGTACTAATTTATGCACTTTCTCACACTCTCCCACGTGGGTGGTAGATTTAGGGGTGGGCAAATATGTACCAAATCACAGGACGGGCAGGGCATTATAGACTCCAAGTAAGGTTGCTTCATTGAGTTCCTTCTTTCCTTAAAAGAGAATAGGTCGAGTAGAGTCTTTTCATTTTGAAGTATTGGACGAGTTTTAATTTTTTTTAGAAATGGGTACTCAGAATGACATGTTTTAGAGTAAAAATAAATGAATAATTAAATAAATAAATGAACTCTGCGCATGATCCATAATAATAAAAAATATAATAATTTACGTTTAGTGCACTACTTTATGATAATTTACGTTTAGAACATTTTTGGGTAAAGAGAGTTAGCTTTTAGAGATATACTACTTCCGTCCCACTGTCTTTGTCCACATTTGACTTTTGGAACTGTTCATCTAAGCATTTTGACTCATCAAATTCTCTCAATGTGTAAGTCTAAATATAGTCATGTGTGATCTTGTTTGATTTGTCTTAACATATAGATTATTAATATATAATTTCTATAATTTTTTAATATACAAATTTCAAGATAAAATGGATTAAAGAAGTGCATTGGATGGTGTGCCAAAAGGTAAGTGGACAAAGACATTGGGACAGAGGGAGTAATATATTACTTCCTCCGTCCCAAATTATTTGTCACATTTCTATTACCGAGGCAAAATATCAAGTTTTTTCAATTCATTTTATTTACATATTGGTAAAGAAATAAAAAATAAAAATTACATATCAAAAAACTACATGAAAAGTTCTTCGAAATAAGAGGTGTCAAGAATATTTTATTTTATCAAATAACCAATGAAAACGTCGAAATAAACAAAAGTTCCCGCGACTGCTGAAAAAGCAAATGTTGTGAATATTTAGGGACGGAGGGAGTAAAAAAAGTTGTGCCGGGTGTGTTGGGAGAATATTATTGTTTATTTATGTAACATGCCCTATGCACGTGTCTAAGTAGGTGGTGAAGTAGGCCGAGCGGCCGGAGCCTGACTTGAGAAGCGACCCGTGGGCCAATCTGGCCGACATAAGCCATGAGGCAAATACATCGTCTTTATAGTCGTTCTTGATATTACGATTGAGTGATATTCCGACAAGGAGTGATCCGTTTATCACATTAGATTGAAAAAAAAGTGTAGAACTAAAAAAAATAAAAATTATATATTTAAAAAATAAATCAAAAGATCCACAAAACTAGTTGTGATATGACTATATTATTTTATCAAACGACTAACGAAAATAGGAAATGAAAATTAATGAAGTTTGACCATGTGAATAGACAACAAACAATTTAATTTGGGACAAAGGGAATATTAATTTACCTTTTACAAAATATGTATTAAAAATGAAAAAAAATAAAGGTTTGAAACCTCAGACGTCAAACTCATTTCTGGTGAAATTTTGAGGTAAGTTAAAAAAGAGTTAGAGCTGATTTGACAGCGAGAAGGTTTGAAGTTTAAGGCTTTTAACATATTTCTAGTGTTCTAAGGTCAACGCTCTTTTCACACACCTTATTACATAATCTCCATGAAAGAGTTGGGCTTTTTGCAAAATATAAAAGCCCCACTTGTAGGCCTGTAAAAATGTGAGAATGTCCACATTTTATATTTCACACGTGGATTTTAGAATCAAGAAAGCACAGCTCGAATATTAAACTAATAAAGGATCTAAAAAATTATTATTCTTACTTAGGCAATTACGATTGAGTGATATTCTGATTTTTAAATTTACACCAATTTCCGTATAAAATAAATTATAAATAATTCCACTTAAAAACCATAAATCAAAATAGATAATTTAAATTGAAATCAAAATATTATATTTTTATCTCAAAATAAATTTTTTATTCCAAAATTAGCTACACCAGCTCTCACCCACAGTACACGTGTTTTGGAGTTGGTTAGTCTAATTGGATCTATTGCACGTATTAGAAAAGGAAGATGGCTAACCCTCGAAGGACGTTTTTTCCCGTATCCGGCAACCACCACCAACTGCCGATATCCTCCTCCGCTGCCGCCGCCGCGCAATCTCCGGCGTCGCCTGTGAACTCATTGTTGTCGTTCCTGAAGAAGCCACACGCTTTCCCCTTCCTCCTCTCTTTCTTCCTTCTCCTGACGTGGGTCTCCCTTCGATTCCAACGCCCCTCACATCATTTTCCGCCCCGGGGAGTAGGATCCGGATCCAAGGCCCGCCTTCACGGCTCCTCCTCCGACGATCGTTTCGCGAATCTCGTACGGTTCTCTTCATCTTCTCCAATTGTTGCCAAGGACAAGCGCGGATGGCTTCTGGATCCCGTTTCGGTTGCCATGGATTCTTCTATGTCAGGTCTCCCCTTTCATTTTCTAGTGTTGGGGTTCTCTTTCAAATGGAAATTCTATTACATAGCAGTGATTTGTTACTCCCGGTCTTCTGTAGCACGATCAACTTAGGGTTTAGTCATTTTGTTCTGTTGTGACACTGTTTGTGTGCATTTTTGGGAAAGTGATTTGATTTCGAGTGGAACTCTCATTGTGTGGAATCTAACTTGCTTGGAAATGGAAATGTTGGTGAAAACAGGTGGAGCAATGAGTTGTGCATCCATTCATGTGGGTGAGATCAAACCCGGTGGTGTAAGGGGGAACCATAGGCATCATACATGCAACGAGACCTTCGTCATCTGGGGAGCTCAAACACTCTTCCGGGTAATAATGCAAAGAGTTAATACATTCCTGTCAAAAGATCTTAATTGCCGGTGAGATTTTTGGAGACAATTTCTAAATACGAAATTTGATGGGAAACATGGTGCTATAAAGGAATGCAGCTNCCCCCCCCCCCCAAATTTTTTGATGGGGCTGATTCCTTGGAGCAACAAATGGCTACTGCCAAACGCCAGAAATTGTCTACAGACGACAACAAACCCAATATGATCTCGACTCTGTTGGAATTTGAGGGGTCAAGATGTATGCAACTTTATCCCTCTAAAAAAGTAGATAGGCCGTGCATTTGCCAATGGAGCTAACAACAATGTTTTTGTTAGCTCCATTGGCAATACAAGTTTTGATAAGCATGTAATTTGAAACCACATAAATTTACATATTGAGGTTAATATAGAATAGAAAACAATTAAATGTCAAACTATTCTCAAATTCTCATCAATTTAATGACATTCTAGCACTATTCTGTCTTTTGTGTTTCTACGCGTATCTTGACATCAAGTATATTTAAAAAAATCACAATGTAACTCTTCGTACATTGTATCAATGAGTATTAATTTGTATATATTTTGATTTGTGACAATTTTCTTACTTGCTCTTTTTGCTACTAAGTTTGCTTTTAATTTTATTTGCTATTTGTATTGGTCTGTAATTCGCTAACTCTTACCTATAATGTATTCTCTTCCTGTTAGTAATGCAATAGTATCTAAATAAAACACTTGGATGCAGATTAAAATGAATAAAGATAATAAGCGTCACAAGCATATTTAAACTTGAGATGGATAAAAAAACACTAGGTCTACCAATTTGAAAATATGCCGTGATCATTTCTGAGGCAAACGCTGTATGTATGTATATATGTGTCTATATATATACATATACATACATACATACATATATACATACATATATATATGTATATATGTTTGCCTAATTTCTGAGGCAAATGTTGTATGTATGTATGTGTTTGTGTGTATATATATATGTATGTGTGTGTGTGTGTGTGTATATATGTATGTGTGTGTGTGTGTGTGTGTGTGTATATATAAAGCAATAAATATATTGTCCACTGATTTACACTTTGCTTACAGCTGGAAAACGATGCACTTCAAGAAGGTTATGCTGAGGTGATAGTTGGTGCGGATGAGGTTGCCGTTGCGGTAAGCCCTAGTGGAACGGCCCATGCTCTCGTTAACGTTGATCCTTCTTCCCTAACGACATTCTTTGTCGGATGCCAGGATAGCGTTGTTAACTATACCGACTCTAGAACTGATTTTAATGTTTGGAAACATCTATAAACTCACACAGGTAATAGCTTTTATGGTATCTAGTGACTAGTGACTAGTGTAAATCTGGTCTTTTAGGATAATGAACAGGCTCCATAGCTTTTGGTTCATTTTGTCATCTTTGCATTCAATCACCAGAATGCAAAGATAACCCATTTACTAAGAACCTGTTTGGTTGTGCCTGATTCCACAGTTATTTTTCTAGTTTTCACTTTCTGCACAGTGAGTATGTGCCATTGCTTGCCTTGCCTCCTTTGCTTGGGTTTGGCTTAAATGGATTTTAGTTATTTTACCTTTTTTCTTGAGAAAATTCTGCAAATTCAACTATAGGTTCAGGTGAACAATGATTACCAAAAGACTATCTGTAGAAAAATATACTCTTAAGTGTTCATAGAAAAGTTCCCATAAAGGAAGGACAATGAACGTAATATTTGATAATAGATGATAAAATCTGAAAATCTTTCAATTATAAGAGTCCGATTATAAAATTTATTCTATAAATTTAGAAATATAAATTGTATGGTTGAAATTGAAACTAAAAAGTAAAAAATGTGTATGACAAATATTTTTAAGTATAGTTTGAGAAAAATAAGGTGGAAAATATAAAAAAGTAAAAAGAAAAGAAATGAATCAAATGGAGTGTAACTTATTTCTTTAAAAAAATAATAAGTTCAAAATATACTCTCTCTTCGTCCTAATTTAAGTTGTCCATTGTTTATGATATTTCAATGAAATTATTTTCAAATTAATTTGTTTAAGAATTGGTGTAGAATATTTTAAAAAAAGTTTATTTAAAAATAACATCAAAAATTTTAAAAATTAAGAGTTGACGTGATTATATTATTTTAACAAATGAGTAACAAACTAGGCAAAAAATAAGTGGTTAAATTGTGGCAATGAATCTATTTGATCGGAGTAAGTTTTGATCGGAGTAAGTTTTGATCTGATTTGCTCTGAATCTAGTTATATTTAAAGATATTTTTGTTGTAATTTGAGTTGACCTGATATGATCTGATTCTAAGAAAGAAGATTAATTACTAATAAAAATAAGTTAGAAGAAACCATGTCTTTAGAGTGTTTCTAAAAAAACTTAATTTAAAAGGAAGAGAGTAGTATTTATTCAACCTCTTTTAGTTTTTGGTAAGTTTTAAACTTCACCTAGTTTTTCAACTCCTAATTCTTTTTAACTTCCAACTCTATTTATCCACTTTTCAAGAAACATTTTTTTGAAAAATGAGTTTAAAAGGTTAAACAGATAATTCAAATGAAGTAATCAGTTTTTCACGTCAACAATGCTCATACCATTAGGGCTATAAATGGATAACCAAAATTTAATTACCGTCCGCATCTATAATCGTTTATACGGAAAATATCCACATCCATTAAAAACGGTTATTATCTGTATCCGATTGGTAAGAGGATACGGATTTGGTAATCATACATCCGATCTGTTTATAATTCACTCCACATAGACATCCATTTAAGTAATCGTTTATCCGTATATCCGATTTGTTATATACGGAGTATAATTTTTCCTAAATTTTTATTATTATATTTTTTTCTATTGACATCTTAAAGTATAAGACCTTTTTATATACAAAATATTTGTGTAGGCACATAAGAATATGTGTAGATACATAAAAATATGTATGTGTATTGTGTATATCTTTTTACCATATGGAGTTGTCATAGAATATTACTCCCTTTGTCCCCCTGTATTTGTCCACATTTGACTTTTAGAATTGTTCATCTAAGCACTTTGACTCATTAAATTCTCTCAATGTGTAAGCCTAAATATAGTCATGTGTGATCTTGTTTGATTTGTCTTAACATATAGATTATTAATATATAATTTCTATAATTTTTTAATATACAAATTACAAGATAAAATGAATTAAAGAAGTGCATTGGATGGTGTGTAAAAATGAAAGTGGACAAATACGGGGAGACGGAGGGAGTATAAAAAGTTAGAAAAAATTACTCTGTAACAAATTACACTTGAATAAATAATATTTTTACTTTAACTAAATTGGAAATTAAAGTATTTTTCTATTTAACTTAAAAAATTAGAAACGGATACGGATATATCCGATATCCGACTGATATCCGACGGATGCGGATACGGTTTTGATATTTAGTATCCGTCAAGATCCGTATCCGAATTCGATATCCGATAAAAAATAAACGGATATGAATCTGGTAACAACACATCCAATCTGATTAATATCCGTTTGCACCCCTACATACCATATCTACACGATATTTCAGACGATTCATTATAATTTCTTCATGAAATATGGGAACGAACTATTCTCAAAAAGAATGAGTGGGTTATGGGTATTAATTTTTCAAATGTATGTCCATGGAGCCTCATTGTTTTGACATAAAAAAGTAGTGTCGTAACATAAGATCAGCCCATTTGAGAGTTTTAGGATACTTCGTTTGGCCTACAAATAGGTTCCTACCTCCTCCCTACCCCCACCACCCACACCAACCCCACAAACCTTTAAGCCAAGTCCCTGCCCGCATGGGTGGCTCGATCGAAAGAGGGATGTCAAGCTCATAGATTCTAAGGTCAGATCACGATAACGATAATGTAGAAATTCTATTCTTTGAAATAGCTCCTTATGCAAATCGGGCATGTGACGACCTCTCAAAGGACCAGATTAAGATTATATCATGATTTACCTCCACACTATCCGTTCAGGCCGAGGGCACCCGGAGCAAGTGTTCCACCCTATCATTTATTCTTTGTTAACAGTTTTACCAAATGTTACCCGTCAAGAGTATTTTTTTTTTGTTTTTTTGGGTTTGTTTCTTGAGAAATGTTTTGTGCATCTCTGTTTCTCTATCCGATGAAAAAAATTGGGTGAGAACAAATGGGCAGTGTCACAATAGTCGCATGATGAATTCGATGTATTAATTCTTTCATTTGTATGGAGAAACAAGCAGATTAAAACAATAATAACCAAAGCTTAAAGACTGAAAATTTTGGGGACAGATTGTTTTTGAATCCGATACTCCGTAAAATTGTTCTTAAAACTTCCCGTGTTCTTTCATCTTTATGTTGGGATAATAAAAAGGAAAGGAGAGTGCATTGCCATTAATACAGCCCCGAGTGTACTTCTAGTCTGTCATAAACCACAATAGGGGGGCTTATTTAAATGAGGGGGTAGGGGTGAATCGAAGGGTGCATAGATTATAATGAGACCGCCAATACCATCGTGATTCAAAGAGGATGAGAGATTCAATCTCCCTGAGTCAATTAGCCCGGTGGCCAGTTCAGCTGTCTTCCTCCGAGAAGATGAAGGTGAAGATGGTAAACAGATTGGCCTGCAAAAAGAGTACACGCTATTCAGATCAAAACCAGATTAAAATATGGATGGGCTGAAGCTGAGACTCCTATTAATCATTATGGCAAAGTAATTAATGGTGGGAAAGGATGATTTCTAAAAATTAAATAATAAAATTACTGACATCCGTCCCTCCCGTCATTGATCACAAGCCTGAATCCATTTTCATCCAGGCCTTCTTGTTTAGCTACAAGCTTTGCAGTGTAAAAAAGGCGACCAAGTATCTCGCAATGTTTCTCCTCGGCCTTTTCAAAATTAAAAAAAATTGAAAACTAAGTTACTGATATAGTCGGACAAATATAATGACGAAATCAAACCATACACAAAAAAGCAAAATGTGTTCTGGAAAAAAATTCATACAAAGATCAATTTCTGGGTTCTAATAAACTTTGGAACATTGAGAAGAAACCTTACCATACCAAAATTGCCGTGGAAAGTGGAAAACACGGCATTAATAAAACAAACTCGTATTTTCATCCCAGTTGAGTAAATCTCTTAGTTATACTCCTCTAATAATGTTATACTAGTACGGAAATCAAATAACTTGAACCAAGCAAGTTTATATGTATGCCATAACCATGTTCGCATTACTCCTATGACACTCATAAGTACAAACCAAACACGGCCTAATATATAGTAAAAGATCCCTGAACATTTCAAACACAAATACATCTTCAAGTTACGTAATGAGCTCACATGCGCGGACTACATTGTTCTGAAATTCACTCTATCTAGTGAAAAAGACAGAACCTTTAGAGAGCTGTAAATGGGATAAATGTCACTTCAATCGGTCTTAGAGGATTTATAGGAAATACCAACCTTGGAGAGCCCAGATAACCCATCTTTAACCTTTGGAATGAGGAGAATGTGCACTGGAGCTTGGGGGTTTATGTCCCTGAAAGCCAAAACCTGTCCAAACATTCATAATAATCTCAATAATAAGCATTCGTTTCACTCAATAATCGAATTAAGGAAAAAGCAATTCATAATAATCTCAATAATAAGCATTAAAGTTAACAACTGCTCCGGTCCCTGAATCGATTACCAAATGGAGGAATTACAGTTTTCGCTTTTTCATACAAGATTAACAATCTATACAATTTTCTACAAGCAAAATAATTATTAAAAAAATTGGGCATATCAGTTTAGAAATGGACCAAGCATTGTTGCTAGGTTAGAGAAATCAGAGCAATCCCTAAAATTATGACTTTTGATAACTCCACCGAAGGCAATATTGTACCTGATCATCCTCGTAAACAATGTTCGCCGGAATTTCCTTGTTGATAATCTTGTCAAATCTGCAAAAAAAACAAGCATCAAATCGTCTCCATTCAGATCAAATGAAAAAGACTCGAAATCGGATCGAAAATAATCGCGGGAAGAAGGGAGAAAAGCTTCGGGACAGCGACGGAGGGAGGGTACATGGTGGGAGAATCGGCGGAGGGAACGGCGGCGAGAAGGGCGGCTTCCTTCTCAGAAGCCATGGAAGAGAGGTGAGTGGTCAGTACTTGGAGCCGGCTTCTTCTCTCGCCGCCTTTCTCTTTGCTCATTATATATAGGGACACGCTCACAAGGCCGCCGGGTGCCGTCTGAATCGGATGGCAATTCTTTGGCCTGTTTGTAATTACCAATAATTAATTGCCTTTCGCGGTCAAAGTCAAAGTATTAGAGTTGTAAATCGAATATTTATAAATAATACTCCCTCCGTCCCAAATTATAATGTCTGTTTGCTATTCACAGGATCAAATTTCATTCACTTTCTTTCTCTATTTTCGTTAGCAATTTGATAAAATAAAATATTATTGTCATTACTAGTTTTGTAGATCTTTTGATGTAGTTTTTTAATATGTAAGTTTTCTTTTTTAATTCTATACCATTTGTCATACAAAATGGTTTGAAAATAATTTCAGTCAAACATCGTAAACCGAAACAGGCGTTATAAAATGGGATGGAGGGAGTATTCGTTAAGATAAGGTAATCTTTGAATTTAAACTTGGTTTGAATATTTTTTAAGACTCATGTTTGATTCGTTTAATATACTAAATATATTCGATTTGGTTAAAAATTCAATTTGTTTAAATATAATTTTTTTGTTTAAAAATATTCGGTTCATTTAGATTTTAAAATATTTTATAACCATTAAAACTATTTATTAGCTATTAGAAACAACTATTTTTGTCATCTCTTGTTTTGTACTCCGTATAACTTTTGACAGAGTTTTAAAAGATGTAAATTTTATTTTTAATTTCTATACTAAATTTTAAATAAAATGAATGTAAGAACTTGAAAATTCGCTTCTTCTTGCCGAAAGTATAAAACATTTGAGACAGAGAGAATATAGTTTGGTTATTATATTTATTTAAAAAATTATGTTCTGGATATCCACAGATATCCGAAATCTTAATTTTCATTCAATATCCGATTTAGTTTTTTCAAATATTCAATCCTATTTTTTTGGATATCCGACTCGAAGTATCCAAAAGTTAAAAGATTGGACCGAATATCAATTTCTCGGATCGAACACATCTATGGATTAGATTTTTTTGAACACCCTTAATTGTCGTCTAAGACCATTCACTCCATGACCTCGCCACGCCATATAAGTTTATTTATTCTTAATAGTCGTGTTGAATTCATTATGAAATCTTTTAATGGGAGAAATGAAGTAAAGAAACATATTTCATTAACCCCTAAATTTTTATACGCATTGTTTATATGATAAAATCATAATATCTTTCTTTCTTTAGCTATTTTCTTTCATTGATCATTTGGTAAAAATAACATGCAATGAAGAGGAGAGTATGTACGGTGGTAGAGAAGAAGAGTAGGTGAGGGTGACATTGTGATGGATAAGGATTTGTGTAAATGGGGTGGAAGAAATTATTTTTAAGGGCAATAAAGACACTTTACACACAAAAATTTGCCAAATAATAAAATGAGAAGATTATTTGTGGACAGATCGATAAAGAAAATGAGAAGATTAAAGTTGGACGAAGGGAGTGTTTTATATACTCCATAATCTTTTGATGTTATATAATGTCTCTTTAATTAGCGGGAAACTAAAGGATACTCCCTGACTTTATACCTCAATTACTCTATCTGCACATATTAATATTATAAAATAAAATTTTGAGAATTCTTAATAAGTTAAATATAATAAAATCATTTTAATACTAATATACATTACTTTTTTTAATTTAATTAAAGTCCAAAATTTATCTAATTTGAATCAAAAAAATCAAACTAGATAAACAATAAGTAGTCAATTAAAACAATTAGTGAAACGACAAAAGAAATGTCACCCCGAGAGTGTTACCATATCAAATAATGTCAATTGTGTTGCTGAGGTCAAATATCAAAACAATACCAAATTTATTACTCTATATAGTAAATATAGCTTATGTTTTTATCAATCCCATTAGGGTGATTTCAAGGAGCTCCATGCATGTTTCTTTTTTGGGATGTGCTAGAGGTACACCACTTGCAAACACAAAAACAATTTAATGAGCAAATGGTGTACAACAAGTTTTAAATGCAAAGAGTTTTTTTTTTTCACATAACAATATGAAGAGAGAGAGAGAGTGTGTGTGTGTGTGAAGGGTTGAGAGAAAATAATTCCTCAACATTGAAAAGCAACAAACAACATTACCCTCGTGCTTTGCAAGGTAAGGGGAGTCGGATGTACACAATCTGACCCTTAGGTTAAACATTGAGCTGATGTTTCACAATCTGACCCTTAGGTTAAACATTGAGCTGCTGTTTAACCATTGAAAAGCAATGAAAAAAGTGATGTGGAGAAGGAAAGTGTAGAGAAAAAAATTGGTGAGAATTTTTATTCCCTCGCAATTACGTTGCAATCTCATACTCGTAATCATAAGTATAATAACCAAACGGACCCTAATGGAAAATGGGACCTAGACCACAAATAAAAAATACATACACCTCAGATCACATTAACATTTTCCCAAGGAAAATTTTACTTGGACCCCATTTTGTACCCCAAGGCTTTGCCCTGACATTATATGCAAGTACAAAACTGGTATTATGCCAGTATTGCACTTACATTTTATGACAAGGTAAACCTTTGGGATACAAAATGGGGTACAAAGTGGGGTGAGGCTAGCATGCTCCTTTTCTCGAACCTGTCTCTCGCCCTACATAACTGAATCAAAACTACTCCCATCGAGATACTAACAATTGGCCAACTAAAAGTATTTTGGGGGTTTTAGTGCTTTTTTCCCTTTAAATCTAAGGGTTCGTTTGGTATACGGAATTGATGGAATTGGAATTGAATTGGAATTGTAATTCCATGAGATTCAATTCCATGGAATTGAATTCACCAATTCCTATTCATTTTTTGCACTATCAATTCCAAATCCACATAATTTTTGTGCTACCAAACAACAGAATTGGAATTGAAGTCTTCAATTCCAATTCCATAGTTTGAATTCTGTGTACCAAACGGAGCTTAAGTGAACTTAACTGAACTGGGCATTTTTTTTTCAAGAAGCACGAAACGTATATAAAATGCTTGCAAATAAGCCTACCTAAAAAACAGTGCAAAACCTTTAAAATTACCAATCTTGAAGAGATTGACGCCGTAGGAGATAGGAAGTTAGGCCTACGGACCTCTATAGAGTAACTTCTAATATTCCAAATTGATTATTTTCTTATTATTCAATTGTCTATTATCTTTCTTATGTAGCATTATGACTTTCAACCTCAGTCTTAAGCAACATTTTAAAATTCTAAAACATGAAAGATTATAATCAATTGAATGACTCTAAGGGGCTGTTTGGCAACTTTTGAATAGGTAAGTGTTGAACCAGTAAGAGGTCTGAACCATTAAGTGCTGAACCAGTAAGAGGTCTGAACCATTAAGAGCTAGTATATTGCTTAACTATTCAGAGGCAAATGTCTGATCAATTCAAATAAGAGGTCTTAACAATTCAGACTCTGTATAATACTTAACCATTCAGAGGCAAATCTCTTAACCATTCAGACATCTGAACCATTAAGAGGCTGAAACAAACAGTCTGAACCATTAAGTGCTAAACCATTCAGACATCTGAACCATTAAGAGGCTGAAACAAACAGCCCCTAAGTATTGTCCAAACTTAGTTACCATTGTGACTTCAAGTTTTGTGTTGTAGCATGAGGGACTGATTGTGCTTATAGTATTAATTTTATATTTTATATATTATCTATATATATATATGTATGTATATATATATATATCATGTTCTGTAACTATTGATATGTATGGAATTGTAAGTAATGTTTTCAAAATTATGCGAAACACGTGAGTGAGGCAAGCACTGTAATATCAAATGGTGTAAACTATAATAGCAATATGCATTTTCTTCATGCAAGTACTGTGCTAGCTAGCCAGCCTAATTTTGCAAGCAATTGAAAAGTGAATTCACTGATTGATATTAAACATCACATCTGAAATTAAGATCAGCCGTTCGACACGAAACAAACGATAAGAAGAAAAAAAGAGAGAATATCCAAATATCTTACCTATCTGCCCAAGTATGATGGGAAGTAAGCCCCTGCTGATCCAAAGCTGGACTGAGTATTTGGAGGCGGCGATGATGATGATGCGGGACCCGAACCAGTACCTCCACCAGAAAAGGAAGGCGCCAATGGAGCATTTTGGTACGCACCGAGTCCCTGCAACCCCATATGGAAACCTAAATTTCCAATAGTACTGGGGTTTAAGCTAGCTAAGCCACTGTTTGCTCCAATGGAGGAGCCACCAACTGCCGGTGTTGCCAGCCCAAGAAAGGGATTTGCTGTCAATCCCATTCCATGACTCTGCCCCATGAACATCCCACCAGCTCCCAACATCCCTTGCTGCACTCCAATCCCACCACCACTTTGCTGCACAGCTTGATTAGCATGAGCTTTGTTGCTGTTGTTATGGACATACTCTACAAACATTTTGCAATGCAGCTGGCAACCTTCAAACCATTTGATTGGCTCCTCCAGTGCTTTCTTAGCCCCTTCAGCTGTTCTAAACACAAAGATTGCAAATCCCCTTGGCCTCTGCGTCACCGCATCAAACCCAGATGGCCCTTCTTCAATCTCCCCAAACTTGGAAAAGAAAGAACGGAGATTCTCAGCAATCACATTTGGACCAACATTGCCTACATATATTTTCCGGCCTGTGGTATCATATCCTACGGGGCCTACTGCAGCAAGCTGGCAGGATATGGTCCGATTTCCCATCTTCTTCTGAGGCTGTTTAAGGGCTCTTTTGGCAGAGGCTCTGGTCTTGAAAAGCACAAAGGCATAGCCTTTGGCCTTTCCGGTGACCTTATCAGTAATGAGCCTACATTCCTCAATCTCACCATAGCATTGGAAGGCATCGCGCACCGTATCCGTTGTGGCATCCCAGCTGAGGCCGTGTACAAAGACCTTCCGGTGGGTTGGATCGGAGTTGGCTAATTCTGTAACCCGGGAAATCAGAGAAGGATCCTTGGAAGCTGCCTGTTTGAACAGATCCATTATCTTATCTTTTCCCAGAGGCTCGAGAAGTCTCCGGATGCTCTCTGGCTTCGATGATTCGTCTTCCGCTTCATCTGAAGAATCGGAATCCGACTCTTCTTCTTCTTCTTCGGATTCATCTCCTTCTTCTTCCTCTACTTCTTCAGATTCACCTCCTCCTTCTTCTTCTCCAGATTCTTCTTCCTCCTCCTCTTCTACTTCTTCTTCCACTTCTACTTCTTCAACTTCCACTTCTTCCTCATCAGATTTTTCCTCAGGGCTGTGCTCATGTTTCCTAGCCATGGCAGGAGGTGATGTGCTCACTGTTTCTAGGGTTTACGGTTTGCTCGTGCAAAGATTGTTCGATTACGTTGGCCCCTGTGGAATCTATATAGGCTGGGCTAAATTTCAAGCCTAAAGGCCCTTAACTTAAAATGCAAGCCCAACAATATCAATTTATACTCGGTAGTTATATTGAGGAATGAATGAAGATCATTGCATTTGGTACACCTTAATCCACTCAAATATGGGTGTGGTTCTATTGAACTTTGAGTGTCAACGAATGACATTTTCTCTAATTAAGGTACTTATGATAGGAGGTTCACGAAATAAATAGTTGTTATCACTGGTGTTTCAACCACCACGCCACACTCAAATCACTTATTAGCTACAAAAAAATCAAAAGTTAATCAGCAATCTAATGAGAGGGGAGTTAAGAGTAGCTTAAGTGTATTAAGATGATATGAACTATCAATTTCAGAGACAGAACATCTTAGGTGCCCAAAACGACAGTGACATCATAGTCCTCAACACCACCACTCTGTGGGCCACCACTCTATAGGCCACCACTCCGAGTTGGCTCTGATACCAATGTTAGCGTCAATGCAGGAAGATCTTGTAATGGAGAAGAGATCTTCGAGGATGAGCTAAAACACAGAAGCTGTGGAGCTTCTGTTATGTGACAGAGAAGTGGGGAAGAAGAAGGATGTAGAAAAGAGTTATTTCATTACTGAACATCAATGTACAATGTATCTTGAGGTATTTAAAGGGGAGATATTTTGGAAAGTATCTTCAACTACCTCTAACCACTCAACAACTTCTTAACCAAGTCTCCCCTAAAAGCTCAACTGTTTCCATACTGTAACAGAGCAGATCCAAAATAGGGGAGTTTGTGGCAACTTGCAGCCACAACTCACATTTGGAGTCCAATTAGCCCTACAAAAAAAGGCAGCAGCCCAACATGATTAGGTTTATGCCATGCGCCGACACAGGAAAATTGACAGAGGGGCCTATTTCCTTGGACACGGTGATGCAGGCAATCCAGAATTTAAGGCTAGAATTACACGACACCACCAAAATGCTTGATGCATTGGCTGCAAAGGTCAGCAACAAAATAGCCGATCCACATGGTTATCACAACCGACATATGGGTGACGCAAGTTGGCATCCACCCCCATCATGCACAACACACCGTTGTGAAATACCATATCAGTTACCACAACGCCACCTTGATCCGCCATGCATTAACACCAACGAACCCGGCCCAGGATTTCCATCATGGTTTCTGTTGGGACTGCGCGTGCCCTCACCCCAACCCCGCATTAGTATGATATTGTCCGCTCTGGGCCAAGCCCTCACGGATTTGTTTTTGGGCACCTCCCAAAAGGCCTCATACTAATGGGGTTGGGTGAACCTATATATTTTGGTCCATTTTTTCTTCTCCCTCCGGTGTGGGACTTGGAGGAATCCCCAACAAACCTCCCCTCAACCAAGGACCACACAATTTCCGACCTCCCCTCCAGCGGTAATCCTTTTTTCCTTTTTATCTGCTAACCATCTTGCAC